AGAAGATTTCAAAAACAATAAAGCCACTTCACAGTGAAATGAATGAGTCGATCAAAAATGCATTAAGTAATATTCATGCCAGTTAAATGACAAACAAACAAAAATTTCTCTCAGGACTTACATGGGAAACATTTTAAAACAATTTTCAGCCTGATACTAAATTCTTTGATAAATGCAACAGTCAAAGATATTTGGAATGAAGCATCTGTTTTTCAAAAATACATGTAATTAAATAACTACATTTCTCCTACTTCTGTGTTTGATAACATTATTTTTGAGGGGTTTTTTTTGTTATTTTTTTCCTAGCTTTAATTTTAATTTTAATAATTCATTCTTATTTTAGAGCTCAATGGCTTTCCTGTTTTTTGAAAATGCAATTCTCTTCTGGTTTATCCACTAGCAGATGACTGGAAGAACAGAAGCAGTAAGCAGGATTTCTTGTGCTTAAGCATTTCTCAGCATTTTCCTTTGAGCTCCTTATTACTGCCATCACGGCTTCCACATCAGTAATCTCCACTGCATTAGAAGATATTCTCTCAAATACTGGTATTAAGATATTTTTTAAAATGATCACTTACCAGATCTGTCATTAAGTCCTTGTTGCAGCAGTTTTACTCTCTGTGCTATTGATAGAGCTCTCAGGTGAACTTTTTCTGCCAAAACCTTCAGAAAAAAGAAGATATTAAAAAACATTTCTACACATTTTAGTGAACTTGTGAGCTATCTGTGAATCCAAGCTCTCAGTTTTATCCAATCCCCAGAAACTTTAAGTCAGTAAAAGCCTATAATACCTGTATCATCAGCATTCTATCAACTAGTAAGCTGATTCCTGTTCATGGAAGAAAAATAAACTTAATCTAAGTTAAGCAAGAAGAGAATATGGTTGTGTGTGGCTGTGTAACATTTTGCTTGAAGATCCTGTTCTGTGATTTTTAAGGCACTTGAACAAGAAATGTCTATGGTAGCAACCTTCTTTCCTTTTACCTCTACATGTAAAAATAAACAGCAGTTGATACTTCACAAAGAGGGAACGTGAAAACTATGCATAATTTTACACTAGTATGGCTGTGATCCTAATATTAGTTAATTGTTTGTAGTATTAAACAGAAGAAAAATTGTTTCACTAATCTCACAAATGGGCATAGAAGATTACGGACTGTATAAACAACCTTGAAGAATTGAATTATATTAGAAATGCAATTTCTATCAGGCAAGTTCTTGCATACTTGAAAACACCCCACCAAAGTTCTGGTAAGTGAGAAATCTTACAGTTTAACCAATGAAATATGATAGAAGATTTAAAGCGTTTTCTTAAGCCACTGTTGGAAATTAATTATAAACGGTGCACTTTACCTCATATGCTAGCTTCCTGACAGCTTCCTTCACATCCATTGTACGCCCTACAATTTTTGGCAAAGTCCTTGCTGATGGAGCAATACATGACAGCACAGCACGCCTCACTTCTGAATTTGAATCGTTTTCAAGCAACACGTTGTAAACTGAAAGCAAAATAGTCAGCTTTTGTAAGGGTGTAAGGCATTCACATTACTGAAAAAAGGACGATACTCAAGAAGGTGAGCAGGCATTATTGAAACCTCTCCCCTTTTGCACAATGCTAATATAAACACAGGGATCAGGTTAGGGTCACAGCCCCAAGATTTTAAGGCAACTGTACATAGAACTGAAGTCAAATGCAAGAATAGTTATTTGTTATTATTAGGATCTTCAGTTAATTAAACTGCTACTCTAGATCCTCCCTATAAAATAACCACTTTGTCATTAGCTGGACAAAAAAGTATCCAAACGTTGGACCTCTATTCACTGGAAATACATCCTTACCACCTTTGAGGAGAATCCTCAGTTTTTCCTAACAACTGAAGATTGACAACTGCATTAAGCCTACCAAAATACATTATTATCCTCATGTAATTGTTATTTTCCTTGCCTCTTTTTCAAAGTTAAAAGTGACAACATAAGATTTGATCAGAGAATACTTGTCTTTTCCTTTTTGATCTGCAACTCATTATGAAATTTTTGTTCCTAAACAAGAAACATATAAACAAACTTTCAGATAACAATTTCAAAAAAGGCATCTTAACAAGAAAAAAACTAAGCTAATAATACACTATAATTTTACAAACATATAGTCCATCTACCATTGTCTTTTGAAGCAAGAGAAGTGAGGTCTAATAAAAAAAGCATACCACCCAAAATGTTAAGTTCACAAGTTGGTACAAAACAGCATAAGGAAAACTGGGTTTCAGCAGTACTAATCTCTTATATGGAACTGATTGCCCCATCCCTGGAGGCATTCAAGGCCAGGCTGGATGTGGCCTGGGCAAGGCCAGGCTGGATGTGGC